TTTTTTCCATATAATTTTTCCTACAAAAAATATATTAATTTATTCGTCTCCCAACTCCAAAACTTACTAATTATCCAAGTACTGATTTTTTTGGGATATATTATTGAATTATTGAATTTGATAATTTGATTATTATATATGTTGTACGAGCCATTAAATCAAAATCGTATTGAATCGAGATATGATATCAATACAAATACATTTGATACAAATAAAAATTTTAACTATAATTTTCGACACAAACGACTAACTTATTTTGTCACACTATACTTTATGAATAATTCGTAGTGTCTTATTTTTTATATAGGTTGACACGACATAATATAATTAATTTAAATATCAATATTATTTTTAACAATATTGTATTGATATGATACAAATAATCTAATTTTTTTTTTGAGACATATTAGAATCATATTTGCGAGTTGAAAAACAATATGATCTAAATTTTTTCGTAAACAAATCTAAAAAATGAATCGTCTTGAACACAAATTCTCGTGTTATGTTAACAAATTATGTTAAAGATTGCCACCCCTATCTAGATTATGGCATATACATAACATGTTAACATCGAACTATAATATCAGATTTCTCAAATTTATATTTTAGTTTGGCACATAAAATTTTAAATTATGATTAATTATATTTACATTCTTCTTTTTAATCGATTAAATTAAATTGGAGTCTAATAAAAAATACTTTATATCTTGGATAAAATGTTTGGGGTTAATAATTCTTCTATAAATAAAAGATAATTGTATTTCTTGAATATATATGGGAGTGGACGGGGCCCTATGAGAGAAGAGACAGAAAGAAAAGAAAAAGGATCAACCCTCTTTAATGTGTGTGTAGGAAATAAAATTATCTTTTGTTTATGTTAGACTCTAAATGTTATGTTCAAAATCTTTGGCAACAATATATATATACTTTTTTTGGTAACCTTTTGGCAACAATATTTATTCAAGAAAAAGTGGATCTCACTCTGATGCAATTATAGGATAAAGGTTAAATTAATCCCAAGGTTTAATTATAAATGAAAGAGCATGTGTTTGATCATCTCCAGTATTATCTTTGGGAGGTGTTTAAAGCTTTGGTCCTGGGTCTAGTCTCGAATCAGACTAGTCAAAAACCGATGAACGGATTGAAATATCTCCAAACAAAAAATATAAAAAAAAATGAAAGAACTCTTGTGATTAGCCATCATTTTCGTTTCTCTTTCTCCTCCTCGTGGTCTATCCTATACTTTGTAAAATTTTGAACATGAAAATCTTCGGGTAAAAAACAGTTGAGACTCACTCTCCTCATAAACGTTGTATTAAACGCAATAAAACCTCTATATTTTCTGCGATGTTTTTAAATTAAAGTTGGACTCACCGATTAAACTGTCCAAATTGTAAATTAATTTTTTTAAATATTTTTCGATTTAGTTATAATTTAATCATGATCCAATCACAAATTTCATCAATTTAATTTATTTATTTATTAAGTTTTTAAAACATTAATTAAAGGAGAATATTGCTCTTAGCTAGAGTACTAAAAACCTCCCAAAAACTCACACACATATTTATCATCATCATTCATTAACTTTCTCTCTCTCTCTCTCTCTCTCTCTCTCTCTCTCTCTCTCTCCTATCTATGAAAGGATCATCATCCATGCTTGAAGCCTTGAACCGTATACATGTACCTACTAAATGTTTTTGAGTTATGAGTATGACAAAAAGCGGTGTATGTTCCATCACTTGCTCCACCGGATAAATTCCAATTTATAATCAACAGTGACAGTCTATCTAAATGAGTAAATGGTATGTCAAAATCTCCACGTCAATTCTAAACACTTTTTTTTTAATTAAAAATAGAGATAAATATTAAAATGTGTATTTTTAATTTATTATTTTCAAAAAATGTAAAAAAATAATATGAAATTTTGACATACCAACATTATTATAAGTGTACCTGAATTGTTTTGGTGGAGGGAATAATTTGTTCTTCATCACCTCCAAGTTGGTTTAGTTTGTCATTCCCCACCAACTGAAATTCTCTTCAGAGAAGGACTCCTACAATAAAACTATTTGTTAACCATACAAAGCTTATGTCATTTCATCCCTTTATAATTATGTACTTTAAATATTATAATTATACTATTAAAGTTATTTTTTTCTCACTTCAATTTTTTTTAAAAATTTAGCGACTGACATGAAGAGAGAAAAAATAACTTTCGTATTATAACTATATAGTTGTCAGAGTACATAGTTATAAGAGATAAACGAACATAAATTATATCCTCTAAAATGATACATATTAAACCCTACATAATAATAATAATAATAATAATAAAAGCTAACATGAAAATAGATTTTGTTATTTTTCACATTAATTTTCAAATTGCAAGTGAAAAAGGAATACGATAAATAATTTTTAAGAGGTAGTGAATCATCCCATGTGTGTTGAGATATTCAAGTGTGATGAGTCCCACATTGGTTGATAATGGACTACGTGAAGAGTATATAAGCGGATGGACCCATGAACTCCAATGCCTTAAGGTTTTGAGTTGAGACATGGTGTCGAATCCACTTGCTACGGTTGATGTAGCTTAGCCCATTAGTGATGATCCCCCGCCACGGGCTTCCCCTGGACCCGCCTAACAATGTGTAAGTTTCAATCATTGATCATGTGTAAATTATGTGTTTACCTAAATAGAACCATTTTAAAATATAGGAAAATTGTTTGTCATTTTAAATGACACAAAGTTGTGTCATTTAAAGAAAGAGATAGACACAAAATAATATCTTTTATTTAAAATTTAAATTAAATAAAACCACTCACTTTGTCTTCCATGATTTTCATTCTTTGTGTCTATCTCTCTCATAAAATGACATAACTTATATCATTTAAAATGACAAACATCAAATCCTTTTTGTTATGGCTATGAATATCATATCCCAACTATCCAATTAAGAATCTACTAAGAGATAGAGTCATAAACATCTCAACAACTCTAAACAGCCAAAGGGCACACGATGAGGATCACATCCCAACAGAAAGGGAGTTGAATCCTACTGCAATTGGGGGAGCTCAAAAGGCCCAAGGTAAACATCTTTAGCCTATTTACGAATACTGCCCACACTGTGCACACACCCACCCCTTGGCTATAAGCCTATTGCTTGTACGCAGTGATTGGGACCTCGGCTATAAGCCTAGTATATATTTGATATACACTATCTCTGAGCGCATACCATACGATCTATCCAGGACCTAACACTTTTAATATTAGTGAATGAGATTAGTGTTTGTCTTTTTAAAAAATATAGAATTGTATCATTTTAGTTAAAATTACAATATTATATTTTAGAGTGAGAGAAAAAGTTACACAATAAAAATCATGATAAAAAAATAGAAGTTTTTTTTTTTTTAATTTAAGTATTAAAAAAATCATTTTAATTAAAATAGTTGTCCTTTATTAAAAGAATAAACATTTTTTTTCTGAATATAAAGAAATGACATACTCCAGTTTTTAATCCTTTCCCAATCGCAATAAAGTACCTCCTAAGTAGATGCCAATGCTTTGGACTTATACGATACATTATAAATGCTTACGAGTTATGAACAAGGATTAATGAAGAATAAACTCAACGACAACTAACATGAAACTGATGGGCATTACTTTAATGCGATAAGTTTTCCAAATCAACCTGAAAAAAAAAAAAAAACATATTTACATATTTAGAAGAAAAGACAAAGTTCAAAGATTTTATACGAATTCAAACAATTTTTTTTATTAAATAACATAATTCAACTAAAAAATTATGATTTCCTTGCCAAAGCCAGATGAAATTTCTTACCATGGATGGGGCGCAAAATAACATTAGAAAAAAAAAAAAAAAGGTATTTCTACAATGTTAGAGCAGAACTTGAGTTAATGAGCTCCCGGGGTCGGCAGCAGTTTTCTTTATGAGATGATATTGTACGTTACGTATCTATCTATCTTAAGGTATGTATGAATTGGAAGAGACATAGGTTGGATATGCTATAGGTGGCTTCTTTTTGTTCAATTCAATGGGTTAGGTATGCGCCTTGCGTGCCAACTTTGGTATGTCATGAGGCCAAACTAAATTATTGAGATATTAATTGTTTATGATGATTGATGAAAAGAAGATAATGTCAGTTCTGTCTGTGGTTCAAATCCAAACAAATGAAGGTGATATTTCTATTTGTTCGACCCAAGACAACCGTGGTTAACGTGGAATTTGAGGACGGACCCGCAATATTTATAGAGGAGATTAGTCCCTTATGGTGGCAGATGATCGTGCGTAATAAAATCTTGACCTCATATAAATTATACTTATATTTTTTCTCTTCACTTGACCTCATAAGTTTTAATGTCTCTCAGATAATCAAATTTGTATTTATTTTTTTCTCTTTTTTCTCTTCACTTGACCTCATATGAGCCCATATCTTTTGAATGTAGCTAGAGGATGAAGATTTGGTCTTGAAAGAGACCACAGAGCTAAAGTTAACACATGATTTCAGCAATATGTTGAAGATCACAGAAAAGTGTCAACACATTCAAATACAAAACAAATAAAAAAAGGCAAATTTTGCAGATGACTACCTCAAGAAACTAGGAGTTAAGATCCAAGAAACAACAGTAGTAAAGGAAAATTAGTTCCTCTTTTGCTATGCAATTTCAATCATTGTACATTTTAGGATCCATGGCTTGGTTGTGTGAAACTAGTTCATGTCACGATTCCATTATATTCATTAGCTCTGCTACTAGTTGGTTTGTTATCTAAGCTGTTGTCTAGCAAACTAGTATTTTCCTTTAATTAAATACCTATTAATTAGTATTCAGCTGACAAATAAGTACTTTAACCGTATAACCTTAATTTCTCAAGATCAACAAGAATAACATTTTATCAATTCTTTGTACCAACCCAAAGAGATCAACCTTAATATCTCACTTGTTTCTATATTTTTAATGAATTCATTTGCAAATATCACAACTATATATTTGAAACACTAGGATTAGGCAAAGCTAATCTGAGAAACTCCATATCTTTTTCCAAGATAACTATATGTTGCATTTCCATGGTTAGCCAAGCTTCCATGCCTGCATCTGTTTCAATGATAACAGCTACATTGGGGAGAGTTTCCTGATCACCTCCTCTAACACCAACCCATAAAGGCTTCCCCCAACCAAAATCTAGCTCATTGAAATTCAAACCACACCAACTTGTCAATACCACAGGAATTGGACTCCTTGTTTCTATACCTTGAGGCAGATTCACACACTGATTGCTCCCTAGGATATTGGGATCACTCTTCACTCTCAAATACAATTCCCTTGAGAGCTTTCCAAATTTCTCTCTGGCAATGCTAACCAAATATCCAATACCAGTGTTTGCATTCACTGTTTCACAAAATGCCATTACTGGCCACAAAATGTTGCCTATAGTGTATTTAGAGAAAGGTTCACCCATCCTCCTCCTCATGTCCACAATATGGATAGCCACTGATGGTCTTGTGCTATCCCTAGATTCAGTCTTGCATGCAAGTGTCATATGTTTCCAAATGAAAGCAGCCAGTGCTTCATATCGTGTAGGGGATTTTGAGCTTTCACCATCATCATCTTTTGCTTCAGCTCTTAGAGTGTTGATGGATTCTGCATTAAACACAAACCTTCTTGTGGTGCACTTTTTTTGTGTTTGTGAGTCCTCATGAGCAACATGGTCATGCAAACTCAAATGATTTAATGGTGGAAAGAAAGATGAAGCAGAATAGAAATCAGGGTGTGGTCTTTCCTGTCTAGAGCCACTACAGATAGCAGCCCAAGTAGAATAGAAGAGGCTGCCAGAGCAACCATCAAGGAGAGTGTGGAGATTGCATGTACCTATAGCTATTCCACCACAACTGAATATGTTCACTTGTACAAGTACTTGGGGTAACGCTTCTCCATTTAGGTGCACCTTATTAGGTTCACATGGAAGCAATTTGTTTAGAAATTCTAGCTTAGGTGGTGTGAGAAACTCAACCATGTTAAGGTTCACCTTAGCTTCTAAGAAAAGAACACCTTCATCATTGCAAGTGATAAAGGTATGTGATTTTCTTCTCCCAGCTAGAGGGTAGAAAATGGTTAGTGTCTCGGATAGTGATTTTTTCAATTGAGCACATACATGATAAGGTTCTTGGAGGCCTTCCTTTTTGGGGTAAAACAAAAGAGTTGGCAAATAGGTGATGAGTTGAAGCTGATCAAACAGACAGAGTTGGAAGAATTTGTGTTCATCTGATGTAGGCAAGAATGGCTTGATTGTTTCTCTTGATGTAATTTTGATTTCCATACCCAACAATTTTTATGTTAACTAGTTTGTTTTCGGATATCAATGGTCCTTTAAATTGTTTGGTTTTGGAAGGGGTATATAGTAAACCGGACAAGTCATTAATTAGCATCAAATTGTACTAGTAACATATATACATTAGATCAAACTCCATATTTTTATCAGGTTATGAATTTCTGAAGATTCAGGCATTAATTAGTGGGAGTTAATTGAATTAAATCAATTAATAGTTTTGGTGCTAGTCTATTTCTAACGTCTACTCTCTTGATAGTGTGTAAAACTTACAAACCAGCTTAAACATCCCCCTAAAAAAAAATTATTATCTTGTGTGTTAAATTTTGTCAAGGGTAAAGGAATTAGAACTTATGGATTGAGTTTTTCTTCCTCCCTGTTACACAAAATTTATCAATTTTTGTGATGACATGCCCTAATGTTGTGGAATTATATTTAGCGGTTTTCAGATGATTAATGTTTCTATTGTATTTCTCTTGATGGCTATATTAAAAAACAAAAGCATGTAATAATTATTTATGTATATTGATTATTATAAAATATATAATTGAACTTAATACATTATTTAAGAGACTCTAATGAAACCCTCCATGTTTATGTATTTTAAGCAAAAAAAGAAAAGAAAAGAAAAAAAGAAATTGGGCTTATATATTACAGAACACAATAGCTTTTTTATAAAGCTGATTGGGCTTTCAGCCCCAAACATCACCGTCCTTGTATTGGATTTAATTCCAGCTGCGAGCCTGCGAGGAATATTCTTCTTATTTTACTAAGCACAACAAAAAATAACATCTCTGTTTTGCAGAAAAAATAAAAAATTGAGCCCAATGTTATGAACAAATTGAGCCCAATTTGCTTTATAGAAAAACTTGCGAGTTTGGTTTCTTTATTACCGAAATTTGTTATAACAATCTATAATTAGTAGTTTAAGTGATAAAAAAAATATTTTTTCTTAAAATGATTTGGAGTTTGAGTGTCATAAATATTCAAATTGAGCCCAATGTTTTTCTTATTAGTTTAAGTTCAATAATATCCAAATCAAATTAATCGAATAATTGATTAATGGATTAAAAAAAATACCAAATTTTGAGAAGAGGTATCACTTTTTAGCTCCTTATTTCCTTATCTATATTCTCAATTCAACTTTTGTTTGCAATACTATTTAACTTTCAATAAAATCGGAAATAAATCAAATATTTCATGCTTTAATGACTTTTGAGAGGAAAATTTAGTTGTCTTTCCATCTGACTAAAAATTAGTATCACAATACCAGACCTGCACAAATCCTTATATAGTAAATAGTTTTACAAATATACTTGTAATCGTTAAAGAATATTCTCGTCCCAATACCATATATTCAAGCCATATGGTATTTATTTATTTTCCGTTTTTATTTTCAATTAATATGTTTTTACTGATTAATGTTTGATGAACAAGAGGAATTTTTATACTAATTGATGAAAATTGAAAACAAACCACAAACACTTCCTAACATACACAGTCCATTTGGCTTAAATTTGAAAGGAAACATCTGAACTTGATTAAAGCCAAACTACGTAATATTGAGTCAGCAATTTCATTTAGATAATTAATGGCTCACCAACCTCAAGTGATTTAAGAAGTAAATAATCTTCCACAAACTTAACAATATTTTGAAATTACTTGCTCGTCCATGTGGCATTCATTCATCTCTTAGACTGTCTTTTTCTTATGATTCACATAGCTTAGCATTTGGCAATGCCCTCAAACACAAGACTTAGTCAATGTTCTCCATAGAGTTTTTTCAACATTGATTCAGTTTGCTTAATCATCAATATAATCAAGACATAATATATAGAAAAAAAAGAAAAAGTGAATCAAATCCACTTTCATATGAGTACAGTAGATAAAGATATTTTCATCGTGCAGGGAAAATATTAATCTTATACTTTAATCTCAAAATTGAAGTTATTTTTTAATAAAGATAAAATTACCTCATACAATTTCAAAATAACATTTTCCAATAAAATTTTCAAATTATCCTACTTTATTTTTTTTCAAATCTTAAAATAACATTATTTTGGATTATAGAAAATAATTTTATCTCTACGACTACCTATCGGAGAAACACTTTTCCATTTTTTATATTATGTTATATCTTTTAAGTTATCCTTGTGTCAAGTTTTATATATCACCTCATTGGTAGACAAACACATTAACAATCACGGGGAAAAAGAAAAATTAAAGATAATAACATGTTTAACAAGGAATTGACTCACTCATGAAATTAATGGATCGAGATGGTGTAGAATTTTTAAAAAGCAAAAATTATTGGTTCAGCTTATAAAGATCAAACTACATTTAAAATTAAACACATAAAAATGATATCTTTTTATTATCTTAATTAAGAAACACACAAGAAATAATACTTCAGATATTCTCCATCTACTAAATTTTCCTCTCTCTTTTTTCATCACTTAGCTTATTTTCTCTTTACTTTTCTTATCATATCATATCATATTTTATATATATATACATATATATGAATTAATTATTTGTCATGCCACTCAATTACCCAAAACTACTTAGTGTTTAATATTATTCTCATATATTATTTTATTTTTTCTCTGTTTTTTAACGCCCGAAAAATGTACCGTGTAAAATTTTTTAGTAGTAACAAAACAAACGAGGGCTTTGGATAATTCAACACATCCGATAATATCTTAATCATTAAGCAATCACCTCAAATTTTTTATATGCAAAAAGCATATTCTGTGTTATTCTTTTTCTGTACTTTTTTTTTTTTTTGGTAAATTTCTTTTTCTGTACTTAAATTATTAGTGTAGCTCACTTGAAAATATTAAGCAATCGATGCTTGTTCGAAAATAGATTTTTTCATGTGAAAAAAATTGATATAAATATATAAAAATTTCACAATTATATAAAAATGAATCAACGATTATAATTTTGTAACTACTTATTTAAAAAAAAGTTCTTTATTTCTATTTATTTTTTTTGAGATAAAGAGAATCTATATCAATGCATGTTTAGATACGCTACCAATTCACTCTTATTTTAATGGAGCTTTAAACGCTTAGTATTTGTCTCCGAGAGAAATAAAAAAACGTTCCTTTCAAGAAACTTCTTGCCCAAAACTCCAAGGTTCCACCTGAATTGGCTGTATTCTTCTATATATCACAAATTCCCAAACCTGCCAATTAAATACATCTCTTTCATATCAAAGAGTCAACAAACTTGCATTCCTGTCACGAATGTGATTGGAAAATGATGTAGTGAGTCTTGGACCAAACTCGTTCTTATCTCACCAAAGGAAATCACATACCTATATCTTATTTGTCAACATAAATGTGGTATCTTGCTGAAAAATAAAATAAAATAAAATATATATATATATATATATATATATATATATATATATATATATATATATATATATATACCTGTCTTTTTCTCTTCTAATTCTTTTATGGCAAAAGTTATTTCTAATTAAATATATAAATCAGATATTGTAATGTAACACCAAACCCATAAGTTAAACATAGAAAAAAAAATTATATGGTTATTTAATTTTATAACAAAATCTTTTCTGATCGGATTGATCAGGTATTTATATATCTAATTTGAGCTTTTTGGTGAACAATTTTACCTAATCAACCAGTTACTTTCGACAACTTATAAAAAGATGCATGCATTATTATCATATATATAATGAGGATAATTGAGGATTTTACAAACGAGTTTTATATTATTTTTGTGATGTGATAATTAAAAATAATTTTGAATAATTAACTTTATAAGGATGCATATTATGCAGAAAAATGGAAATTATAAAGGAAAGAAAGGAATTTGTGACATCTTCCAATATTTATACAAGATAAAATAATGGAGATTTACATTTTAGTGTATAATCAATCAACTAGATGTCTAGATCTATTCAACTGGTAGATCGACTAAGAATGAAAACTGGAAAAAAATAATAGAACTGAATCAACTGATCACAAACTGACTTCGTGGAATTGTTTAATCGGTCATGTACTAGTATACATTCCTCATACGGAAACTCTCTCTCTCTCTCATGAAATTTTAATGATATATAGTACAAATTTTAAAGTAGAATATTTATAAAATTTGTGTAGTAGTACGCTAGGAGAAAACTACCTGGACAGAACTATATGAAGAGATCAATATCTCGCTTTACACGTGGCTTGCGTTTAATTTTGCAACTAACAGTGTTTTGACAAATACCTTTTAAGAATATTATAGTATTTTTTAATTTCTTTAAAGTAAAAAGATATATTCACTATGAAAGATATTATAACATTAAATAAGATATGTTAATATTTAAGAAAATTAGTAAAACTAATATAAAAGTGTGAACTAAATCAATACATCAGGAAGGGATCATCGCCAAAAGCTCATTCAAAGGTTAAAAATCAAGATATGATACAAACCTTAAGGTAAATTTATTATAATATTCATATATGGGTTTTTTCACCCTTTTGCCCCTTATTAATTAATTAATAATCATTTTGCCCCTGATTCGAAACTATCTACCAATCTGCCCCTCTTTAATCGACTACCTTGCATTTTTAATCGACTAAACGGTTGTTGGGAGATTTAATCGACTAAATCTCTCTACTTAATCGATTAAAATCATACTGACTTATTTTTTTTTTGTAAAATATGAAGATTTAGTCGACTAAATAGGGAGATTTAAATAAATCTCCCAGCAGCCATTTTTTGTCTGTTTTGTTCATTTAGTCGATTAAAAATGCAAGGTAGTCGACTAAAGAGGGGAAGATTGATAAATAGTTTCGAATCAGGGGCAAAATGGTTATTAATTAATTAATAAGGGGTAAAAAGGTGAAAAAGCCTTCATATATGACCTATATGTTAAAGGAAAAAGTATTTCTGCAGTTACTGCAGATGAATTATCTGCATTTATTCTCAAAACAACATTATTTTAGTATTAAAATCTTAAAAAATTATAAATATAAAAATTATTATAACTCTGAAATAAATTAAAATTACAAAAATATCATGATTTCTGCCTAAAATGACGTCGTATTGGACTTACTGCAAATAACTTATTCTCAGTAACCGCAGAAAAAGCAAACCTATGTTAAAAATCAAGAACTAAAGATACTTTAGTTAACATAGTGCAATTATATTAATTATTAATTACTAGTGCTTTCCTCTCGTTATCTAGGCTTAACTCACTAAGTTATGTCTGGTTCTCTATTTTATGTATTTATCCACCGCCACTATAGCTGACTCCAGCTCTAGCCTTCGAAACAGTACCCACAATGGTAATTAATGTTAGCTAGTTGGTTATTCTTAGCACTTTTTTTACAACTTTGGAGTAATAATTTTTGGAAACGTGTTAAGAAACATAAAAAATATTTTCTATTTGTCTACAATGAAATTGAGTACTACTTCATTAATTAAATCTTTTTAAAAAAATAATGAATTTGTATTTTGCTCAGTCCCAAATTTATATTTGAGATTAAAGTGTAATGATGATTTTAAAAGTTACATCACCCACCGTGTCACCTTACATTTCAATTTTCATGCACCTAACCACGCCTTTGCAATCACATCCACCAAGGTCCTCAAACCCATCCCCAGTTCTCTATTCTTTTGAGCGTCGTTTTCTTTTCTTAATGTTTAATTTATGGGAAAACATTTTTTCTATTTAAAGGAGAATTTTTTTTTCCCCACTAGTGATTCATGCCATAAGTAGGGTCTATAAAATAATGGAGAAAAAAAAATTAAATGAGATTGACTTATATCATGAGTCACTAGTAGAAGAAAATATTTTCCCTTAATTTATTTTGGTATTAATTGTTTTTTGATATGGGCCAATTCTAGGGTTAATTTTCGTTTGGGATTGTTTGGTGAAAATATATCCAATAAATAAATTATTTAATAAGTATAACTGGAAAAGAAAAAAAATATAAAATTATAAACGTAAAAATAATAAACTAATAAAAATGCAACAAATAATAATAAAAAATCTAAGTTTATGAATTTATTTAATTGTTCCTCGTTTGATTTTTTTTATTGTTTATGTTTATTATTGTTCTAATTAGTATATTGCTTAGTTAAAACTAATTTGTTAATGAAAAGATCTTCTTAAATATTTTTTATAAGTTTAAATTAGCTAACCTTTAATTTATGAAGAATTATGTGACTTTAAACTTCAATTACACCCAGGAATTTAGACGCGAAATGTTAATTTCGCATAAACCCAACTTCTAAATTTTGCAAACTAAAGTAAATATTTTTTTTTATTGTTTCCTGACTTGTAGATATTTAATTGATGTTTATCCATTTTTATTAGTGATTAATTGCTATTTTTTAATATTGATCACTTGTTACATGGTTTGTAAATATTTAATTGTTATTTTATTTTGTTAAATTTAATTTTAAATATTTAAATTATACTTGCATTAGTTTATAAAATTTAATTTTGTAATTTACTTATTGATTATTATCTATTTTTAATTATTTATTTTATACAATAAATTAATACATTTTTATATTATAATCGCACGACTGATTTTAATACTATACTTTGTTGTGAGGTTTAATTTTTATTATTTCTTGTATAGTATCAATTTTCAAATTTAATTTAATTTTTCATATATTAACGATTTAAAATTAAAAAATAAAATAAAATTTTCATAACTAATACATGTGGTGGCGACAACTGCTAAATATAATATAACAACACTTTTCATGGCAGCAAACGTAACGTTCTGAATAAACCTGCGAAATAGAAAAGGGAATAAAAACAACCACAAGAATCTGTATTACCTGTATGATTGTGTTTTAATTTTATTTTATTTTTCATATAAAAACGACAAGAATATGAACTTCGCTGTTTCGCCAGATATTATTTATTAAAATCTAGTTTGAAGTGATTCTCGATTGCTGACGAGTGGCAACTCTAAAATCTGTGTACCAAATATAAAAAATGCAAACAGAGACGTTACCAAATACCAACTGTATAACATATTATTATTATATTATTAAGAAGGAGAATACATAAATTATATCATGTAATACATAAAAAAAAAAGTGAAAATCATTAAAGAAAAAAGAGAGAAAGAAAAGAGTGAGTCTCACTTATTTATTTTTGTGTTGAATGAAATAATTTATCTTTTACAACATAAAAAATATATTTCTCTATTAAAAATAAATTAAGTTAAAAAGCTTTTTTTTTTCGATAAACACTTTAAATGCTATTTAATTCTGTATTAATTGTTGATATTAGCTCCATTAAATTATTTTAAAGAAAAATATACTCTTACCTTGTAGGAAAATATTTTTCTTTCTTACACATACATCGATTTTCGTGTTATTTTTTTATTTTATTTTATTTCTTTTATAAGTGGTGGGTCTCACACATAATTGTCTGGTAGCATGAAAAAATTTCTCTCTTATTACATGAGATTAATAAAATATTTATTTTAATATATCGTAGGCAAACAGTGGACATTGAATTCTAAATTTAAGTTTTTTTTAAGGGATTAATTTTTTTATATTATAAGAGATAATTTTATTTTTTATATTTATAAAAATATGTGGAGCTCATGTGAATAATCATGACAAAAAAATAAATAGATTCCACATATTTTTACATAAATATAAAAAATAAAATTATTTATTATAAGGTGAGAACACGAACCCCTTCTTATAATACATTAAATATTAAATTTCTTATCTTTCTAGTGAAATGAAAAGCCATATTCGACCACATATCTGACATGTAACTTTTTTTTTATTCCCAAAATTAAATTGGGTTGCATTAAAGGCGTTTCGTAAACGTGGTGCGAAATCAGTAATGAATCATTTTCAAAGTAATGAGCAAAATATAATCAATGGAATTATTTAAAGTTATTATCATAAACAATTAGACATTTTGTGTTTTATTTTTTTATAAATTTTAACTTTGATAAATATTAATATAAAATATTTGTATAATATCATGAATTATGCATTAACATATTATATAATAGATTTAAATACATTAAAAATTATATATGATGTCAAGTAATGTTAAAAAAAATTTGATTTTCATTCAAGTATAATTTTTTTTTTATAATAATAGCGTATTAAAATCAAAGTTACTTTTATATAAAAATGCACATGTCTATATATTAAAAAAAAAAAAACTTCGTAAAAGTTTCACGCATTTAAGGTGATACGCTGGTAACAGGGGAAAGTCGTGTGAGGTATTTTTCAAACTCTTTTTCTTTTCTTTTTTAAATGTTGACTACCCATGTATCTATATTTATTTCTTTCCTCGTAATCAAAATTATATACTTTTCGAAGTAATAATCAATGGCAGTGTTTTTTGTTTTGTATAATGATAATAATTAATAACCTATGATTTCATGTAAATAATTTAAATTTCTTACCATTACATCAATCTTAATCGCTAAGAATGTTATTCATATACTAATAATAATTGGAAAATGCAAGAAATTCCTTTACCCATCAGTTTATGTGTAAAAAAATTCTTTTGTGCTCTGAAATTCAGCTACACTTTCGTAATAATAATAATAATAATAATAATAATAATAATAATAATAATAATAATAATAATGGAAATGATATTGTGACAACCAAGTTGTGTTACTACCAACGGTTATATTTATTTTCATCTTTGTATGGTCATGATTCCCCATATTTAAAGTGAAAGCATTAAATATGGAAAATCATAACCATACAAAAGTGAAAATAAATATAAAGTATTAAATTTGTGGAATCATGATCATACAAATATGAAAATAAATATAACCGTTGGATCAATATAATCGATCTGACGGTAAGATTAATTGGTAGTCACTTGATAGTAACACAACTTGGTTGTCACAATATCATTTCCCTGATAATAATACTAAAAGAGTTTTAATTCTCTCGTACAATAATATTATGAAATAAATAAAATGGAATCCATTAATTTTTTTTTAAAAAAAAATAGTATTTTATGTGAATACAATATGAAAGATGAATTTTATTCAACCTGAGTGAATAATTTTCCATAATAAAAATAAGGAAAATTGTTTGCTCTTTTAAATTACATAATTTATGTATTTCACTTTCACAAAGAGGTAGAACCCACACTTTTATATTTTTTTGTCTATTTTTTTTCCTCCTTTATCTATATCTTTCACTTATTTTTTTTTTTTATAATCATCTTCTTTCTTTTTTATTTAAAATGACACAACTTTACCTCGTACATCATTTACAATGATATACACTTTTGCCATAAAAATAATGCATAGTTTATTTCACAATTCCCGTAGGAAACCTCGTACACCATTTGAATTAAAAAAAGAAACGGCAAAACAGAGACCCTCTTTTAACGTGCAAAGAAGGAAGAGCCAAATTGAAGTGAAATAACAGAGAGGGTGGTGTTGGTGTTGTTGCTGTCTCTGTTTTGGCGCTTTCATTACGACTCACAACCTTATTTCTTGCCTTGTTCACTAAATTCATTTCTCTTTTAGTTTTTATCGCCGGCCTCACTTTCCTCTAAAATCTGTCAAACCATTTTCTCCGCATGTAAAATTTTTTCCAACTACTCTTTGAACAGCATTCAACTTTTTCTTCGTTTACCAGAAAAATGGGGTTGGTCAGCAGTTTCTTTGGGATTCTTGGTTTTGCTATTGGAATACCTCTTGGCCTCTTGGTGGGGTTCTTTGTCTTTGTTTACTCAGAAACCAAACAAGTGAAGGTTAAGTTTTTGGACTTTTCTTGCATGAACATTTAGTTCGATTCAATACAACCCAATGTAGATGCGTTTGTTGTAATCAGTGTTATGGGAACTGAAGTTGGGGTTAAGACTAACCCCAGTTTCATTTTGAATTCTGGGTACGCTTCAAAATTTGATTTTTTTTTCCTTTTCTGTAAATTTTGTTTAAATGTTTGCAGGACTCCGTTGTTAGACCAATTAGTGAATTAGGCCCAAATGCTTTGCAAGAACTTCTACCCGAGATTCCTCTGTGGGTGAAGACTCCAGATTTTGAACGAGTTAGTTTTTGTGATACAATCTACAAAGATTTTGTTCTTTCCTGTTCCTGCGCATATTCTAAGTTTTATGGTGTTGTTACCATGTTATTGATGCTGCATGATTCTTCTTCAGGTTGATTGGTTGAACAAGTTTTTATTGGATATGTGGCCTTTCTTAGACAAGGTACTTCAGTAATCCATATGGTAAGTTTTTCCTCTTACTGGATGATTCTTCACTGGTGTTTCATTTTGGTGTATAGGCAATTTGCAAGATGATTAGGATCACAGCACAACCAATCTTTAAAGAATACATTGGGAAGTATCAGATCAAAGCAATTGAATTTGATACTTTATGCCTTGGTACTCTTCCTCCTACTATCTGTGGTAAGTCTTTCCCCAAATCTTCTGATTTTTATTTTTTGTGCAAATATTTTATCCAAATTTCTTCCCAGCAAATAAAAAATGCTTTATCATATAATCTGAAATCCCACTATGCTAGAAGAAATTTCAACTTTAGTGTATGGTTACCTAGGATGGATTTTACCCAGGAAAGTTTGGGACCATCCTAGGTAAAAAAATGGTTTTTACCTAGGATGGTCCCAAAATACAGATAGATATACATGTCATAGCGTGTCTAAGAGTTGAGGGTGTAATCGAATTTTGGACAGGAACGAGAAGGTTGTGTGAGAGTCCTGAAGATCTTTTAGCTAATTATAGTTTTGCATTTTGGGAGCTTAAAGGAATATATGATTTTAGTGAAATTACAGGGTTGATAATACTAATGGATAGGCAATGTGAAATATACTCCTAGCTCAATGCTCAAATTAGCCAAAATTTAGTTGCTTGAGATCTGCAATGTAATCTCTTTGACATCTGCTACAAGTATTCTTCTTGCGAGCAGGTCCAAAACTCACCACCCTTCTCATAAAATGAATGATTAAGGATATATCATATATATGTCAAATACTAATCTTTGGAAGTTTGAAGTACATATGCACTAACATAAACTGCACTTGAATAACCGCTGATGAAAATACCAGCACGTAACAAACATTGTTGTTTTTTCATTCATCCTCATCAAAGGTAAATGTATATAAACCATAAAGTTTAGTCAACACTTCAGTGGAGCCTTTATGATCTTATTGGTTACGAGGCATTAAGGTCTAGTATTATATCCGATTTTATTTTATTTTTCTTTTTAATGTCTACGTTCTGATTCTGCAGGTATTAAAGTCTTAGAAACAAATGAAAATGAATTGGTCATGGAACAAGTTATAAAATGGGCTGGCAATCCAAACATAGTGTTGGTTTTTTATGTATCATCTATGAAGATCACAGTTCAGGTCAGATAATCCTTGAGGCACAATCCTGAATGGTAAATTTTGTTTTTTATTTTTTTTGTTCTTTCGAGATTGATGCTTTCTTATAGTAATTTATATTGATTCTTCTCAGTTGGTAGACTTACAAATATTTGTGTCACCACGGATAATTTTAAGACCTTTAGTGCCAACGATTCCATGTTTTGCAAAGATTGTGGTATCTTTGATGGAGAAGGTAAAGAAAATTATTGTATTCAAGCATAATTTCATTTCTTGCCTTTTATTATATCAGAAGTCAGAAAAAATACCTTCTTATATGTTAATTAATTATGTTTCGTATACAGCCTCATGTTGATTTTGGGATGAAAATATCAGGAGGGGACATCATGTCAATACCAGGTCTTTATAGATTTGTTCAGGTGCTGCCCTTTTTCTGGCTGGTTATGGTTGCTATTGTGTTAATCTGCTACCAATTTGAATATACAATGGCAAACTTATACTTCTTTGTGCTTTGATTTTCTTAAATTTTAATTTGGTTTAGAATTTTTGTAGTACTAAACTTTCTTGTGAATTAAACTTCCTATTTGTATTTTTCCTTTTACATCATGGAATTGAGCTAATTACTACAAGTAGAGAGTAGTTTGGTGACTTTGTTTGTGCATAATCCATTACTATTATGCACATTTAGTCTTCAGTTCTATAATGAACTGTTTGATTATTTTCATCCCTGCTCTTTCAGTTGCCATGGCAGTTCATTATTTAGTCAGACCTAAACGACTATCTACTTCTTTTGCTTACAGGAAACTATAAAAAAACAAATTGCGAGCCTCTATCTCTGGCCGCAAACCATGGAAATTCCTATTCTTGATGAATCAACGTAAGTTTGTATAAAATGATAGAGTTCTATGTGCTCACAGAAGTCATTTTTTTAAGGTCTGTAAGCTTAATAAATTTTTATCCTGCATTTTTCACAAATATATGTAGGCAAATAATGCTACCTGCTCCTTATCTAAAGAAGTTGACAAATTTGAGTCTGAGGCCCTAACCATTTGATTTTGCATTTGATAATATTTTTCAGTAGTCAACAGTTCCAGAAATTTCACAAAGCTGCTACCAGATATTCTACTAGAATTATGTTACTATTTAACACATGATCTGAATATAACAACATTTGATGTTAAAAATTACTGCAAATCGCCAAAGTTAAAGTTTATAAAAACTTTCTGTTTACCCTATGTTCTGAAAAAGTTTCCTGATACTTTCGTCACATCTCTATAGGGTGGCAATAAAGAAGCCCGTAGGAATACTACATGTCAATGTGGTTCGGGCACATAAGCTTTTGAAGATGGATTTGTTGGGAACTTCTGATCCTTATGTCAAACTAAGCCTGACTGGAGACAAACTTCCAGCAAAGAAAACTACTATCAAGAGGAGGAATTTGAATCCTGAGTGGAATGAGAAGTTCAAGCTTGTTGTAAAGGACCCTCAATCACAAGTTCTCCAATTACAAGTCTATGACTGGGACAAGGTTTTACTTATCTTTCTTCTGGTTACTTGTTCAAATTTTGACAGAAAAAGCGTTAACATAAAAATCCTAGCTGTGGCAGTCGCCGATTGACCTAAGTGGTAGCCCTTATTTTATCATGTTTGAATGGAAGGTCTTCATTTTTCCTTCAAACATTTTACGGCAACCCTATGAAGCCTAAATATCCATTTGTTTTAAGTTTCATCGAGAAAATTCAAGTTATACAAATATAACTAATTGGCAGCACTTATCTCTTAGATGGATTGCAACCATAAGGTCTTTTTAAACAGAAGCTTAAAAAACCAATCTCAAGGGTTGAATTTACTTTTTCTATTTTTGTGTTGTGAATTTACTTTATTACTAGAGATCCTTAGTTACTTTCAACTTTCAGGGAACAACTACATTTTGTTTATGTGGCAGTGCAGTGTGTTTAAATATTACTTGCGAAGTATGTCGCCTTTGGTGATACAATTTATTCATAAAATACAGATTAGTGTGATACAGCCACAATCTATCTTTCTCCAATCTTGTTTTTATCTCTGTCCATTCAATTTCGTAAGATAGTAAAATACAGATTAGTAAGGGAGAGCAAACTAGAGTGGTGGTAAAACTATTCCTCTTCATGACTGAAAGGTCATGAGTTCAAATCCAGGAAACAGTCTCTTTGCAATTATGCAAAGGTAAGGCTGCGTACAAGGATTTCCTCCAACCCACACTCGCTAGTCGGGTTTAACGGGGACTAGTTTAGAAAAATACAGATTAGTATGATGTAATTAAGTCACTGGAAGAAGCCAACCACTTCAATCAGTTACAAGAATTTGTTATATGATTTTGCATTTGTTATGAGATTCATTTTCATATGTTTGGCTGTTCTTTTCAATTGTATATTTCACAGGTTGGTGCACATGATAAGCTGGGAATGCAATTAATCCCTCTTAAGCTGCTTAAGCCCTATGAGAATAAAGATTTTACACTTGATTTACTCAAGGACACAAATATCAATGAAACTCCAAATAAGAAGTATAGAGGGAGTATCGAGGTGGACTTAACTTTTGTTCCTTTCAGAGGAGATAGTAGCAAGTTTGGTGGATCTTCAGAAGGATATGGCAGGCAGGAAAGTGGACTTGATAGTGTATCTGATAATGAGGTCCAAGAAGGAGCAGGTTTGCTTTCAGTTGTGATACAGGATGCTGAGGAGGTTGAGGGGGAACATCACAACAACCCATATGCAGTGCTAACCTTCAGAGGCGAAAGGAAAAGGACAAAGGTAAACTTTCCAAACTTATCATAGATTCGAGTTTGGAAAACAGTCTTTTTGCTAAAACGCAAGGGGAAGGGTGCATATAATCGATCCTCACCCCTACTCTCGCAAGTCAAAGAGTCTTGAGTATCGGAATTTGCATTTTTTATCATGCCTGTTATGTTACATAGATGTGAATAAGACATTAGTTTATCACAGTTGAATCAAAGACATTAGTTTACATAGATGTTACGTACATAAACCTAAGAAATGGGATGTATTAACATTAGCTAATGTTGGATAAGCTCGATGAATTGGTGAATGTGTATGTTTACAGTGAATAAAGCTGTTAAAAAATGCATATCATGTTATCATTTGTATATGCAGTTTATTCAGGCAAGTTTTTCTATATACTTGAGACAATTTAAGCCAGAACTTAAAATTCTGCAGATGATGAAGAAAACTCGCCACCCACTTTGGAATGAAGAATTCCAATTCATGCTAGAGGAGCCTCCTCTGCATGAGAAGATACACATTGAGGTTATGAGCAAGAGGAAGAGACTTAGTTTTCTGTCAAAGGTGCCATTTCATTTTTTTCTCTTCATTACAAAAGTCATATTCTCCCCTAAATAGATTTATTTATAATTTGATTTTTTGAGAAAACCTGGTACATGATTTGATCCATGTAATCAACCTCACCTAATAGGATAAAACTTATGTGGTGGTGGTTGTTATTGTTGATGTACAATTCATCTTATGTTAATTCCAATGTGATATTCATGTTAGATTGTCTGTGATATGCAGGAATCACTGGGGCATGTGGAGATTAACCTCAATGATGTAGTGCACAATGGTCGTATTAATGATAAATACCATCTAATAAATTCAAGGAATGGAGAGATACATGTTGAGATAAGATGGGCGGTGGTTTGAGAAACCAAAGTCTAAAAGAGTATACTTTCTTGTTTACCTTTTGCTTTCCTTACAGAATTTTCTAGCTGATGAAGTTTTTAGTTTTAGCTTTTTACAGTGTATCTAAACAGAAGAGGCAAAACACATCATTGAGATACCTATAAATTTGTTTTTCTGGGCAACATTTATGGCACAAAAAGTAGTTATACAATTACCCAAGTTTGTAGGACGTATTTGGTTCTGTGTTTGATCATTTTTTCCACTCCACCTTTTTTTTTTCCTTTTAAGGATGGGTAACCTTTGGCTTAGCTAAGTAGGATGGTTTTTTTATTTTTATTTTTATTTTTTGGGTTCTTATATGTTTTCCCACACTACAAAATTAATTATTGTTTAAGGTATTAAAGTTGTCACTTCTTATAAATATTTGGTTAAAATATATTTTTATCTTTATACATGGCATTTATTTGTAATTTAATTTATATAAAAATAATAATTTTAATTTATTCTTATATGTATGATTTTTTACAATTTGGTAATTGTTTCTTTATATAATTTTATTTGATTATAAATAATTATTATGTATAAGTAGGGGTGTTAACGAGTCGAGTTTTGGTCTTAACGGGCTGAGCCTGTGTTCAAATGTGTCAGACTGACCTTAGCATTTTACCTGCTACGAATATAATATCAGCATGTGGCCTGGTTCATTTACAAAAAATAAAAGCCTGGTTTAGCTTGTTAGCCTGTTTTAAAAAATTAAGACAACAAAATAGCATAATATAAAATAAAATCATTCAAAAAGTCTGTTTAATTAATAAAATGGGATGAAATGAGAAGAGAGAGAGTGCTATCACAAGTAGTATAAAAAAAAAAAAAAAAAAAAAAAATATTAGGCAAGCCTGAAAGGTTATAAGGCCGAGCTTTTGAATTGGAGCCTGAAGCCTTTTTATTAAACGAGCTTTTATACAAGTCCAAGTCTGGGTCCAACAATCAATTTTAGACATATATAAGTATAAAAATATATCTCTTATGCATAACATTTAATTTTAAATTCATCTTTGTACTTCATAGTAAATCAATGACAATCTTACAATGTTATAGTGACAACTGACAACTGACAACAGACAATGAGAATGGCATTAAAAACGATTGAAAAAATAGGAATTAAATTGAATATTTTTTTTTATAGAGATTAAATTTAAAAAAATATCACGTATAAGAACTAAAATATATATTTTAACCTAATGTTTAAGAAGCGCATGTTTGAAGTTAGCTTGGTAGTACGGATTTGATATAATTTTTTTGGTTATTATATGTTTTTCCCTACTATAAAAGATATATTTTTATCTTCATTTGTGATGTTAAATTTTAATTTAGTCTTTATAAAAAAAAAATTCTTTACACGCATAATTATTTTTTATTTGTTGTTGTTATAATTTTATTTGTCAGAATTATAACACGGGTAAGAAAAAATAATATTGCCGGTGTCCAATTGATTTAATAATAATAATAATTATTTTAGCCGTTAAAGAAGGGAAGAATGCACTCTATTTTAGCCTAATATATTTAAATAAAAGAAATATACTTTTATGGTTTGTTTGTTTGAGATTGTGTGAAAAGCAAAGGCTGGGATTGTGCTTCCGAATGCACATTCATTGAAATGAAATTTGTTGATACTTTTATTAAAGTCTTGGTAGTATTGGTCTGCGTCTCAAACAAAATAATCATCAGTCCAATTTGAGGTTAATGTTGAATAATGCAGTAAACTTAATTGTAGCACTATGAATATTGGTATGGGCTGACCATTAAATTTAGCAAGCAAAAAGATGTCGGCTTACAGTATAGAGTTTGTTGGAATTTTTGGTATACATTGGTTGATACACTTCTAGGGCCACTTCTTAACTCTGTTTGGGCTGACCCAAAAAACAAGATACAACTTGGACCCAAATAGCTATGTCACATCATATTCGGGCTTTTCAATGGCCCACCTATCATAACTTTCTGTAGGTGGGAGTTTACCAGTTTATATAATTATTAAAAGGGTTTGTTTTGTTATAAAAAAATAAAAAAAAAAGGGTTTGTTTTTCACCAAAAATAAAAATAAAAAATAAATTGTTATTTGTCGTTTTAAAAGATATAGAATTATGTATTTTAAGTGAGAGAAAGATATAAGCAATGAAAATTATTGGAGAAAAAGTGAGTAATTTTTTTTAATTCAAATTTTAAATAAAAAAATACTAGTTTGTATCTTTCTCTCGCTTAAAATGATACAACTCTATATCCTTTAAAAAGAACAAATATTTTACTCTTATTAAAATTACTTTTTTGTGAACTTTTTTTAGGTATAGTCTGAACAGTTTTATAAGCAACAGAACAGAAGATACAAACTCTGTGTATCCTATTTGCACCTTTTCCTTGTCAAAGGCTATGATTGAAAAGTATCTTTTAGGCTGTCTAGTTATACCAACCCATCTTCATTTCTTCCCAAATTTTCTGAGGGAGTGTTGGGGCTATGGTGTCCTCAATGATGTCAATCAATTAAAAGGTTCCTCAAAATTAACTATATGGCAGAGTAGGGAACAAAAGAAATATATGTATAGTACTTGAAAATAAATTCACTATGGGAGAAATTCCAACATGAGATTAAAAAGAAACCAATGAGACTTCCCTGCCAAAGATTTACATGAACCTTCTTCGCATGTTTGTCAGGTATTTGATGTGATTCACATTACAGCTATGCAGAGAAACAGGCAAAGCTAGCTAGCACAAACTAAAGTATGAAAAGAAAAATTAAATAAAGGAAGAAAAAGACTTTCATTTGCATAATCTCGGATAATGATTTTGAACATGTGGACCCACAGAATGTATGGATTAGGTTTGACTTGTTGATTATCAATACATGTGACATCATAATTAACAACAAAAACCACTGTTGGTTGGTTGTTCTCTTTGGTAGATCTGCAGGGTTGCAAGTCCTTTTAATATCTGTTAATATCTTTGCAGATTTGCATACACAATAATAATAATAATCTCAACTTTATGCACAAAATGAAAAGGAACATATAGTGCTTGAACTTTATTCTCTAACCAATTGCAAGAACATTGTTATTCTTTGAACACTTGGTTAAACTGAATTATCTTAAACATGCTTCCATTAAGGGTGGATAAGCGATGAGCCATGACAAGCTCCTTTTGAGATAATATTTTAAGGGCTTGAAATATGCTTTGTAAGTTTAGTTTAGTTTAGTTTAATTAATTACAATTGTGATTTTGTTTTTAAGTAATGAATAAGAAAGATACAACAAGTATAGTATGTTGCTGTCTTGAATAACCCACAAAAAGTGGGAGGCACCATGAGAGGAGAGGTTCCCTAATACACTAAAAAAGGTTCAGCTTTCTCGTTGACTTACCCATAAAGTCTGGCAATTTTGGAGGTAGTAAAGGGAATCTTATCCCCTCCCCACAAAGGGGTCTCATGAGGATTCTCTGGTTAATGGTTTTCCACTCATTGCTATGAAGAAGCTGTGATGGCACACACACACAACACTCTTTCTCTCTCTCTCTCTCACACACATACATACAAAGACACAAAAACATACGCTCTCCCTTAAGGTGTGCGAGGCATGTGTGCCCTCAAAAGGAGGGAGTGAATTGAAAAGTAGTCACTATCTTTGTTCCTTATTGATGTTCTCTTGTGGGGGAGAGGAATAACTTTTTGCATACCAGAAAGATTGGGAGTTTTTTCTTTTATCTTAAAAGGTGGTCTTTTGAGGGAGTAAAGTAAGTGGGAATGAATAGGCAACACCACTCAAAAGCTAGCTAAGTATCATTTTGGTCTTTCCTATTATTCCCTTTCATTTATGGATACTCTTTTAATTTGGCTTAGTGCATGAAAAGTTATCATGATCATGGTCTTGAGAGATTCTTTCGTTGGAAGACCAATACATAATTAATTGTGAAGGTAAAATCCTTTTGATTCCCACAATAGACCAACCACAGATATGCAAATTGGAACCAGAATTGTTCCATATATTTTTTTCAAAAGCAATACAATTAGTATTTCAAACAAGGCCACTAGGCATGCATGTTATGTAATATTCCAAAAATATGCTGTATAGGCATAATGCACCAAATTTCTAACCATATCCTCATATTTTTCTAATGGTGGCCACAGATCCACTGTTATAATCCACAAAGACATTTATTCTCTTGAACTTTCCACTCATCTGAAATCATGTTTCATTACCAACGTGAACTCATTGCATCATTGATACTTGGTGTTTGGAACCCTTTGCTAGGAAGGATATGCTCTTATAATCAAACCATTTATTTGTCTACTAAATTTTATTTATAAGCTACATTAACGATAGTTTACTTTCGTCCCATAAATTTTTTGTCACCAATTTTCTCATTCTAATAATATATATCTGATAATATGTTATTTATGGATTTGGTGTTTGTCATTTATTTTAGGAGAGAGATAGACACAGCAAAATAAAAATCATGAGAGAGAGAAAGTGAGTGATTTTTTTAATTTAAAATTTAAATAAAATTTATTTGTCTGTGTTCTCTCTCTTAAAAGGACAGAGTGTTATGTCATTTAAAATAACAAACACTTTTTCCGTTATATATATATATAGGGGAATGCTTTTGTGCTGTTACATAAAAAAACAATGTTGTCCTGCACACACAATGTTTTAAGAGAGAGAAAATAATATGAAGAGAGAGAAGAAACAAAGCATGGGACCCACAAAAAGTTGTCTATGTAGGAAAAAAGAAACTTTTTCTATAACATTATAGATGGATTACCCATATATATAATATGAGTTTTATAATTATCATTTAACATGAGAATTTGAATTTTTTACACACCCTTCGATTTTCGTGCCAATATGGGTCGTATATATAATGTTTTTTAACACGTGGGTTCTACATACTTTTTATCTCTACAACATAAGAAATATAAAACCCATATAATATTAAACCTAACGGAACATTAATGCAAAATGACCGAGTCAAGTGGTCGAGAAGATTGGTGATAAATATACCAAACATCACCCATGATTTGTTAGTATTAGTTTTTGGAGATATCACTTCTCCTGCAATAAGAAAAGTGAAATTTTTGTTATAAAAAA